GAAAACAAAAATCAGGGGCTCTAATTCACTCTAACTGGCCGTAATTTAAATAATAATTATTCATATAAATACCTGGTCCTACCCTTTTAACTTCTCCCTTGTTGATTTTGGCACGTCTTTTTTAGCGCATTTCCTCTTCTTCATAAGGCCGGCTCCACAATTGAAACCCCTAATTCTATTTCCTCCTCTTCAGGTGAAATCCTGAAACCCTAGTTTTATAGTTTCAGAGCCATTTCATGCAATTATAGGACGAAAAAAAAACATTTTTTGGAGTTTTGATTCTGCTGTTTCAGGACGTTTTTGAATTCCTAATTTTTTGGAACATTCATGTAATCTGAGAGATTTGGTTTAGTTTAAGCTTGCTGTTTTGTCTTGTAAATCTCTGGTTCTGAGAATCTGATGATTTTTTTGTGATTGGTGAGGGATGTGCTATTTACTTCATTATTAGGGTTCATGTGCTTTAATCTTCCCTACTTCATGGTGTGTGATTAGAGATCATGGAAAAATTGATGTAATTTTGGGACTTGATGGGAGATCAATGATGAGGGACTGATCGAATTGCATGAAGCTGATGTAGATCTAGGTTTACTGATCTGTTTGTGATTATATCGCCTTATTCTTGTATTTATCAAAGAAAAGAATCCCCTGATACTTGTCGAATTTCTGCCTTTTCAATTCAAACTATTGAATTTTTTAATTCAAGAAGTTCAGTTCAAATAAACTCTGCGCTTTTGGGGTGTTAAAACAGTGAATTTTGATATTGAAGTGATTATTGATGGAGGTCCAGTCCTGGTAATAGCACACTAACACCTGATTATAGGGAATGGCTATTAGCAACTTCTCGACCTCTTCTGGTTTATATGATTCGGTTCACCATTTTTCCCTGCATATGTATTTCTCTTTAAAATTTGTCGAACATTCTATTTTTCATGTGATATTGGGGGATTTTTGCCATAGTTTGGCAACTTTTATGATTGAATAAAGAAGCAATTGTGGAAGCCAGAAGTGCTTTTCAGTTTAATGGGGTAGTTTATGGTTTTTAATTGGGTTTTCCTGGTGGTGTGCATGCTTGGTTGTTGCTGCTTGATCGCATTTTTCAATATCTTAATCAATGGTTGAGGACAGTGGGACTGGAATTTTGTGTTTCAGGTGGAGAAATCTTTTAAATTCTTATTCTTCGTTCCAGAAGTTATCAATGGTTGACTGTAGAAGTTTGATCGAGTTCTGCAAGGCTTTTGAGCAACACAGAAACATGGCTAATTCTCAAGCCATGTCTGATCAACTCACTCACCACAAGAGCAGTAGTAATCACTCGAAGAACAAGAAATCCAACAATTCACTGAACCCTCTTTCCCATCCCTTGTGTGACCAATCACCCTTTGCAGCCATTGACATTGTTGTGCTACTTCTGGTTATTGGAGCGTTTGGGTTTCTGTTAATTCCATACTTCAAGTTTGTCTACCACGAAGCAGCTGAAATTTTACCTGCCGCGCTTTATTTTATTGGAGATATTGTCTATAATGCACCTGTGGCTTATGCTTTGGGTGCAATCCTCATGTTCGTTGCTGTTATTGCAACTTGGGAGATATACAGTTACAAGATGAGGAAGTGTGAGAATCCCCATTGTCGAGGTCTTCGAAAGGCAATTGAATTCGATATACAATTGGAATCTGAGGAGTGTGTGAAGTATTTGCCTCCTGTTCCCAAGGATGCATTTGGGGCTCGGCCTTTGGAATTGGGCCAAGATCACAAGGAACTTGAAGCGGAATTGAAGAGAATGGCACCTCCTAATGGTAGAGCAGTTCTCATATTTCGGGCACCATGTGGATGCCCAGCTGGTCGAATGGAAGTTTGGGGGGCAAAGAAGCTTCGACGAATTAAAAAGTAGGACTCATTTTGTTTTTCTTTGATCATATATAGTAAAGAAGCTCAGCTGCTAAATGGGTCATTCACGATCCTTCATCCCTTATTAAATAAGTGACTCACAGGCATGGTCCTGGCAAATGTTACATTTGAAGGGAAAGTTTCGATAATTTTGTTGTCATTGTAGACATACAAATGACCATAATGTTATTGATCATGGAATTTATATCGTGTTTCCTTTTCCAGTATGGATGACAACATAATACTTGATCAATATATAAACTCCTGTTTCTATGCCATGGTATTACCATAACACTTGCAGATCTGATATCCATTGCATTTTCTTCCTTTTTCTTACACTGGCCTGAGTTTCTTACTATTTTCACTCCAGTCAGGCTTTATTGCAACCCTACATGATATTATTCAAGCCTGCACAAATTATTTGTAAAGATTCATTTGCAATTGATCAACATTGTGATTATTTGTAAAGATTCATTTGCAATTGATCAACATTGTGATTAATTGTAAAGATTCATTTGCAATTGATCAAGATTGTGATTAATTGTAAAGATTCATTTGCAATTGATCAACATTGTTTAAAGAAATGATGTTGCCAAACAGTCAAACTCAACATGATTGCGCACTTACACTAGAAATTGTCCAGACATGACATTTTTAAGATTGGTGATACCTGATTTTTTTTAATGAAGTACACAAGTTTAGCTTAGATAGAAATCATTTTTTACATGTCTGTTAGTCATTTTTGCTTTATTTTTAACTCCTGCAAAATATCTCTAAAACGGTGAAACCACCTCAAAAAATCAATGAGCTAATAAAATGGTGAAACCACATTAAAAATCATTGAGGTGGTTAAATTTACTAAGTTGCCAATAAAGTTCTTGCTCTGGGTTACAAAGCCAAAGTGAGACTTTTTGACGAACTTATTAGTTGGAAGCAGATCAAGCAGGGGTATATAGGTCATTTCACTCAAGTGACTTAAGTGAGTGAAATTACCGAAATGCTTCATTTGTTCCAGGTTGCAAACCTGGAACAAGGGCAACTTACGTATTTTTAACGAAATTCTAGAGGAGGAACCTAAATGAAAGAATTTTTAAAGAGCAACTGCTTTGTTGGCAAAATTGTTGATTTACCACGTCATTGATTTTTTGAATTGGTCGACCATTTTAATGATATTCTCCATGAACGTTTTTTTATACATTTTCTCATAGTAAGTTGGGTACTTCCTGGGCTATCCACACTGATGATTGTTGTTGTTTAATTAGTAGAAATCTTATATCTTCTTTTTCTTTTTTCCTCATATGGTACAGGCTACAACTTAGGCCCTCATTGTACCTTTCTCTAGAGCAAGCCGTTATTGATACTGAGAACGAAAAGTATTCCTGGTCTCCAAACCACTATTTGTACTTTCTCATACTTGCACCTCATACTAGTCTCAATTAATGAATTCCTAGACCTTGAACACAGATGATAATTTGGAAGAGATACTATTTTTCATGAACATGTTTATGTTCTTCTGGGTAGGCCAGCATTGGATGGTGACCTCATTTATGGTATTATCTCATCTCATCTCATCCACGCTTCTTAATATTCTAGAAGCAAAACTCATTGTGTGAAGGATGAATCCTTCAAGTTTTTTATAGTCTATGCCAAATTGGTTTCTTAATGGCTCAATCTCAGCAGCAAAACTCAGTATAGAAGTTCTAATATGAGTGGTTGATGAAGGACCCAATGGAGTTTATTGGACATTCTCTTTCATAGGAAGTTGGGTGCAGGTTTTGTCTCTTGATTCAGCGGACCATCTATTTCTTTTCAGAGAATTAGTTGCTCTAGATGAGACTTCAGAAATGGATTTATGCTTTTCTTGTTAGTTGTTTTCAAAGAATTCATCCCATGGGAGAAGAAGAACTTCTGATAAAGTTGTGGCTTTGGATGCATGGAAACTTTCTTCATTGTAAAGATAAAAGGAAGTTTTCTATGTGCAGTATGAAAAGGTATGATCTACTTGTACTAGATTTTCTGAGATGGTTGAATATGGAACTATGATGAATTAAAGTTGATATGCAAAACATTGATTATCACAAAAAAAGAAAAAAAAAAGGAGTGGAAATGGAGTTCTGTACATTTCATCAGTAAGAGGAGGTGCAAAACATAAATATCACTAGAAGAAACAATAAATTGGAGCAACCTTGACACTCTTTTGGACCTTTAACATTTGAATAATATTCATGTCTGCTGACTAATATTATATTAGTGTCAATGGTTGCATGAATGAACCTTCAGTTGTTTTAGAATAAACAATAAATTGGAGCGACCTTGACACTCTTTTGGACTTCTAACATTTGAATAATATTCATGTTTGCAGTCTGCCGACTAATATTATAGCATAGTGTCAATGGTTGCATGAACCTTCAATTGTTTTTTAAGAGAGGAAGACACTGTTCTATAGACAAGATCCACCATTTCTTTGTCTACCATATTAGTATCTTCAGGGGCTCTATGACTTTTGCCTAAAGTGGTAGTGGGAGTGGTGCTTTTTGCTAGACACTCTTGGTAGAATTCATTTGATACATTGAGTATTAAACCTAAGGGAAACCCGTTCCTGATGATAATTTCTGAAAAGAACTCGATGGAATTTTCCTTTTTCTTGTGTTGGGTAGCCTAAGAAGCGAAGTTCATGGTGCAAATGGGAATAAGAACATGACCAAGAGTGTGGAGGCAACAAACTTTGGAAAGGAATTGGCTAAGAATAGTAGAAAACTGCCATTTTAAGAGAAGAGCACCAACCCTGATTTTACTTCCTTCTCTCCTTTTAGCTGCATGATGGTGACTGAAAGTTGATTACCAGGGATTTTGGGTTCATGGACGTGTTACTGAGGTTAAGGCATGACATGAAAATCAGATATGAAATGATGCATAATCCTAAGATGGCCCTAAAAATGTAATCCGAAAGCAGCAACCTGTGAAATGGAATGGCCTGAGAATCATTTTGGAAACCACCCTTAAGAGTAGCGCAACACCCCTGATTATAATTATCTCTTTCTTGTTATCCCTAAAAGTTATTAGCGTTGTTGGAATCATGGTGGGTTTCTCTTTTCCTTGAACACCATTTAGTTTTGATTTGGATAAAAACAATGACCATTTCTCAAATATTATTTGTTTGATTTGTGCTGCGGCAATTTGGAAATATTATTTATGTACCACAATGGACGCGAGCTTTTGGCCAACCAGCATATATTTAAGATTATCAAACCTTCTATTACAGGGCAAAAACTATCTAACGGATTTAATTTGAGTTGATCATCTTCTAGAATGTATGAAAATATAAATTATACAACTGTTCAGCTCCAGCTGAAACCATTCAAATCGAATTCTTTGCATTCGGAAGAAGCATCATTTTCATCATGAGCATTTAAGTCTAGAACTGCAGTATGGTTGGACAGTCTGTCAAACACTTCTGTTTGCTCTATATCTAATGCTTGTGTCCTTGAAGCAACTGATCTCTTACGTGGGGGCTCACCACAAGCACCCTCAAAACCTCTCTCTTTTCTTCTTGCATCGGAGTTGGTGCTGCAAGCACCTTTATCTCCTGGGGCTCTCACATTGTTAATTGTATCACCAAAGCTGCTTGTTAATAGATGCATTTTCCTTTCGGGAGATGGAGAGTAATGCTTAGTATCTTTAAGGCTTTCCCCAGTTGAATGATTGGGCCGTTGGACCCGAAACTCTTCTCTCTCTGCTTTTTGCCACAAGAGTGAATTGCTGTGATAGCCCAAGCCTATGCTAATGTTTTGTGTTTCCTGGTCCTTTTGGGGTCCCTCACATGAAGTTAAGCAGCTGTCCATTGAACAATCTGCTAAATGTGATTTCTGTGCTTGCTGGTTGTTTAAGCTGGGTGCCTCTGTCAAACCAGAGAAAGCAGAATTGAGGCATTCTGCCGATACTTGAGATACCAGTTCGGAGATTTGAGCCCTAGTTGCCTCCAGTCCTGAAGAACCAGGGTTTTGTTTCGCGAGGGTTTCTTGGGCTTTCTCGAGCACCGACTGCAAATACTTCCCTTGAGCTTCTATTCGGAGTTGTAGATGTCTCTGCACCTGAGTCATTTTAAAACCACACTAAATTTCAGAAAGTTCAGGATCCATCAGATTTATCAAAGTAAAATATTCGATAGAAAATTTGACTGAGTGTTTGAAGATTTGAATGGAAATTATTCATATGCTTTGTGGAAAGTAGTTCCTGTTTTCTCTATAACGAGCCAACTTCCATTTGTCTCTCTCGCTTTTTTTTTTTTTGTTGATGTTTTTGTTTTTTTTAATGTTAACTTGGGACGGGTGGACTTGGAATGGAACTGTTGACATTACGGTGTAGTTCCCCATACCCTGACCACCGTTCCAACTGCCCCATTCCCTGAGCCAAATTTCTTTTCTTAAGACTACCATTCTTTATCATAATTTCATGATTGTTCTGCATTCTGACTCTTAGCATTCCCAAATATGCTCGAGACTTTCGGGTAACGATGATGATGTAGTGATAGAGTCACATAATCAGTTGTCAATAATTGTTGTAAACATCTCTAAAAAAGAGTTTTATTTATGGTCTGATCAATACTAAGGTTGCTTTCCTTAAGTGTCCTCCTACAGTTGTTATGGTCAGGTTGCCAAAACAAGTTGCCACATGATCTAGGGAAGTTCAGTCTTTTTTCCTGCAAATATCCCTGAAGTTTCATATGCAGTATTGATCTTTTTGGTCATTTCAGAAAGTGCGCAGCCATTTTCAGCTTCACTCGAATAGAAAATTTGCTTAATAGTACAATTCATTTCTTTAGAAGTTTCTACCTCAAGTTGTTCATGCAACCTTCTCTGCACCTCAATGTGCATCTGAAGCGCTTCATTGATTTGCAAGCCCCTGAAATCCATAGCCTACTGTAAGTAAAACGTGTTCCATATAAGGAAAAAAAAATATTATCCAGAATAACACACTAGCAAGGTCTTTGCTTAGAGTTCTTAGCAAGGTCTTTGCTTAGAGTTCTTACTTATTTGTACCAGACACGGCCATGTTTGCCATTCCCATATGTGGCCCATTGGTATGAGACATTCTTTCTGCTGCTGCCGCTGGTCCTATAGAGCAAATAATTGATTATTCAGAGATTATAAACTGCAAGTTCAAATCAAACAAAGCCACAATGTACAATTTGGGTTCATGTGAGTTTGACTTCTATGTCTAAGAAACTATTGCTACTTTTCTTACCATTCTTGTCGGAACCATTTGATTGTGACCGTAGATTCTTGCTGAGTCTATATTTCTGCAATCAATGAAATTCTTATTGGCTCTTGTGAAAAGATTTAACTTATAGTTAGCTGCTGAAATACAATAGAATACACATGGACGCACGATTGCACGCATCTAGGATAAATCTCATATACAATGCATATTCATCTTAGGAACTTCATTATTACCTGAAGATGGCTTTTTAGATGATACAGTGTAAGTCCAGGGATGCCCATCACCCTCATTACATTTTTTGGGGTAGCCTCTGCAGCGGAAAATTTTCTTAGTTAGTCATCAGAGGGGCAAAAAAAAAATCATTAATGTGAATACACAACATGGCCAGAGTTCTCTTAACCTATGGTAGATATGTTGGTCTGAATGTCATTGTGCATCTTCTTTGAAAATTGGAAATATTGGAATAGATTTTGGAAGTGATTGATGGGAGAAACTTTGGAAATGAAATGTGAATATTAAGGTTTTAACTTAGGGAAATGTTGAAACAGGTTGTGGAATGTCTACCTTAGGAAAGTTCAGAAACCTTTGAAATAAGACCAATATGAATGGTTAAAACTTAATGTGTTTGGTTTGGATTTATCTTATACTCACTGTCTGCACCTCCGAGCTGTGCGACTGCTTCTACAAAGCGCTCATGAAGCTCAGGGGTCCATTTGAGTCGAGGCTTCGCATCAGTTGAGAGTACCAGTCCTGGGTCTCCTTGAATGTTTGCACCATGCAAAAGCAATGGTCTCTCGGGGGGCATGGTTGCCCTTGAAGAAGAGAAGCAGTTCTTGCCTTGATAGTACATTTGGCCTCACTCTGCATAAGTATGAATTACTCAGACATCCACAGCCCGATAAATATACCAACTTCTCTATCTTTCTCTCTCGAAAATTCTTACCTCTAGAAGAATAATTTTCTTTGTTCGTTGTATGCAGTTGCAACTTGTCTTGGGCAGCTTGATCTTCAATTGACTGAAATGGAATTTCCTTCTCACTAAAATTTGCTATCCTAGGAAACCACGATGGATTCTCCCAGTAGAGCAGCCTCAAGTTCTCTGTGACTTTCAGAGGACTCTCTCTCTCTTCCCTACCTCATCTAGTTCGATGGGTAAGCCATACTGCACAGGGCGCATTGGCTAACATTATAAGGAAATAGCGAAGGTGAAGCATAGAATCTTGGACAGGAAAGGTGAAACACTTGACCCAATCCAATCTTCACAGCGACCCTAAAAGAGATCGTGTCCCCTCTTGCTTTGGGTATCTTTCTACACCTTTGGTTGATGCTCAAAGAGCCCCACAACTCCCATGTGAGTTCTCTGCAAGAGTCTTGTACTCTTATAGGCAAAAAGATTACATATGGTCACCATTTATAACAAAAGAGAAGCAACAGAAAAAAGGAATAGCTGGTATGTTTCGGTGACGGTTAGAGGAATAGAAGAAGAAAACGAGTAGTTTCTGACATGGTCCCGCTGTTAAAAGCTGGAACCCTATTCCCAAAAAAGGAATTTACTGGCCCATAGATAAATAAAGACATGCCCCGGAATCTCCTCAAGTGCCTACACTCTAGAAACTCTTTGCGCAAAGAACACGATCACGGCGCATCTTTTAAATGTAAAAAGGCTTATCAAAATATCCATTTTCTTTTTGCCATATACTAAAATTGGATGAAATTATTGTTATTTTAACTATTTATATTATCATTATTACTATAAAGATTATATGTTGTTGTGGTTGCTATACTACTATTTACTACTTTATCATTATTATTATTGTTTTTAGTGTTACTATTATTATTATCATTGTCATCATTATTATTATGATTAGTTTTATGACTGCTACTGTCTGCAACTTGTGCCTTCTATTTTTTCTACAACATTTTTGTTTCTAAGTCTTCATAGTGATATGTCACCATTGGCATAAATTCAGGAAATTAACTCTTGAAATTACTAATCTCCATCCCATGAATCAAGCTGCCATTCTGCCCCTTATCATCATCATCATGCTATTATTATTATTATTATTATTCTTATTAGGAAAATTTATCAAAATACCAATGAGAGAAACATTATTTAACATTTTACACATTTGCAACAATTCCAAGTCATGATCATGTGTAAGGTGATGCTTAATTTGAAACTAATTCAAACAATATGGGTAAAATGTTAAATTGTTCCTCTCTCGTTGGTATTTTGGTAAATTGTCCTTCCTATTATTATCGGGTTAGTACTTTTGGGTTTTGATAGGCAAAATGCCTGAACAGATCATGCGTCTCTGCCTGACTGAGATTCAAGATTGTAATTTTCATTATTAGACATTTCAATATAGCCTGCCTCCCTGAGTACTTCATTTGGGGCCTGCGATGTTGATGTTAGGGTTGGAAGCATATATGACATGGGGCCGGATAGTAGAAGCTATATGAAATTGGCATAAATTCCAGTTTAAAGGTCATTATACTCCTGAATTTTGCTTGATTGGTTGTGGATATGAGAAATATAGGAATATCAGTTTATGAGAAAGGAAGAAGGCAGGAGATTCTGTTGACTGCTTATGCCGTAGAAGCTGAATGAGACACACCCATAAAATGTAGAAAGATGCTCTGTAGTTTAGGTAGTGTTCAAAAGCAAGCTATGGAATAAGCATATACTTTCCCTTTCTCAATCTAAAGGGAGGATTGGTACATATTCAACCATACTGTAGGAAAAGACAAATGTAGCCACATCTTTCATCTTTATCCACTTGCTCTCTCTCTCTCTCGTTCTCTCTCTCTCTCTCTTTCTCACACACACACACACACGCACGCACACAAAATATCACATGCTTTTGTTTCATATATTGCTTGATTGGTGTTCCTTCAAGCATTGGTGTTGTTTAATAATTAATATTTTTGATCCTGTGCTGTATGATACTCAGATTATGGGTTGTACAGTTGATTCAATCAGTTGATGTTGATCTTTTGTTGCTATGATATGCTTGCATACATATTCTTTTATGCATGACTACTAAAGTAACCGTGGCTTTTGTGAGGATGGCAATGATTTAGAAGCTGGAAAAGTGGCACATTAAGTATTGCCTCATGGAGGTACCAGGAAAAGGTACACAAGAAATCCTTTCTTTGAGAGAGAGAGAGATTTGTAAGAGAGAGAGAGAGATATTTGTGTTGAGTACCATGGATTGGATGGCAATAATATTCCATGATCATTAAACATGGACAAAACAAGACCCAACATTTGAGATGATACTATGACATGCATGAGAGATATTGACATGCTTTTTCTCCCTTTTCTTGTATTTTTAATTTGGCTTATTGCTGTTATGGAAATATATATTTCCATTAGTGGGATAGTTGATACCAGGATCAATTCTTGAGCTTAGTTTTGGGGGGTCTCTTGAATGAGAGCATCGGATTGGTAACTTATTTTTTTAGGAATTGGGCATGTGTAAGCTGAGGATTGGTAGTCTCATGTTGACTGCATGTGATTATTAGTTGCTATGAGAAAGTATAGTGAATTGACCACACAGCTGTTTGTTTCTTTGGAGAAAGAAGAGGGAAGGTGATTCTTCTTCCATGGCATGGAATGAGGAATCTGTCCAAGGGAACTAGAGAATCACACTAGGGAGGGTCACAATTGTTCAGGTTCTCCAGTCAATTGATTGGTTATTCTTTCCCTTCCCTTCCCATCCTCAAAGGGGAAAGAGTGGGACCTGACTATTGTTTGCTCTCTCTCTCTCTCTCCAAAGTACTTTGGTCTCTTTCCCATCTTAAGGAAAAAGGAATGTTTATTGCTTTTGCTCTCTCTCTCTATATTTGGTCATGCTCCCCCCTTGAGGGAAAAAGGAATGTTGCCCAACTTTTGCTCTCTCTCTCTCTCACACACACACACTTCCCTAAATTGATTGCTTTCACACAAGTGAAACCCAACCAACCCAGCTTGTTTGCTCTCACTCAAGTGAATTCCAACCCAGCTTTGTCCCACCTTACAAATAAAACTTGTATTTTCTCAACCTTTTTTGCCATGCTGCAATGAAACCTAGTTTATTACACAAAACTGTGAAACCCCCCCTTCTCTTATCTCTCTCTCTCTCTCTTACACACATGCAGGATTTGATTTGTTGGCCATGCATGATGCATCCTACTCTGGAATGCATCAGTTGGGTTACATGGGCCATATTGAGGCTGTCCCTTGTTACAAAGCATGGTTGGTTTAGCATTGCTTCTGCGGCATTTTAGGTGGCCGCTAATGTAGTTGGCACTGTTTGGGTGGTATTTAGGTGGCAGTGAATATGCGGTTAAGTGGTTATTTTAGGTGCACTTTGGAGTCTCTTTTAGGTGTGTGTTTCATTGCACTTGCAAAATGCTGCATTTTGTAGGAACACTGATCTTGTGTTCAGAAAATTGGAGAATCAGCTCGATACTCGCCCCGAGTCCTTGCTCCTACCCTAATTTATTTGTTTACAAATCACCGGTTCGACGTGGGACGGGCCTGAGTTGGGCCTGGTGACTCAAGGCTGGGGACCTGGAATGCCCTAGTCTGAGAGCCAGTTTTTTTAAGAACTGCATGGACCACAACATAATTTGCAGGCAAACTGGGGGTAAATGGTTTCACACTCTTTATGAAATGTTGTCTTTTCTTACACTCATAGCTGAGTTGATGGTCTTGTCAGGAATTTGAAAGTCCATTATTCTTCAGAGATTAAAGGAATTAAGCAAAGAAGAAATTCTCTCATTTTCAAAAAAAAAAAACGTGCAGAGAGAGAGAGAGAGAGAGAGAGAGAGAGGAGACACTCACTACGACGTCGTAGACGTCCTACCTACGTAACGTACTAATTACTACTAGTAGTAATTAAGTAGAACGTAAACGTAACGAACGAAA